ACTTTGCATCCACTTCCGTCTGTCTGTCCGGAGGATATCTTGATAGAGGATGGATTTTAAAGTACGTATGATACGTCATTAGGTGCGCAATGGTCTTGGAATGACTGCACACCTAACAGATTTTACAAAATTATCGATTTTCGACATTAAATTTTAGTTTTTGTGAAAGCTTCTTTGTTAAAAACGATTAGCATAGACCGGAAATGGGGACGCAACTATATAAAGCGGCAGAAGAAGTGGTTTTTCATTTTTGCCATCTCAATTCAGGACAAGTATGCAAGGTGAAGCATAAAATGGTGTCAGACGGGGGCCAGCGTTGAGAAGCCGCGAAGCGGCATTTTAACCCTGGTACATATGAATAACTTTGCAGACTACATTTATGACGCAGCTTCTTATACGAAGCTTTAATTTCCTTAATATCTCTGCACAATTCCAAATCTTTATTAACCGCGCAACCAGTTGAGTCGGTACAGAAAAAGAGGCAGTCTCCAGAAATCTTGTTTTTCCAAGCAAGCACATAAAAATAAGGGCACAACATGGGCAATAAGGCAATCAAGCACACTTCACAGGACACCGACTTTGGCACGATTCGGCTGGGGGAGGGAGGGGGTAACTTGCTTTAAAAATAATGAGCAATTGCAATGGTCGGATAGGCCAATAAGGGGACCAGTAGAGAAACATGGAATTGGTTCTTGATTTCGACGGCCTATAAAGCGAAGGTGGCATTTTAAAAGATAAGAATATTCTTACTAAATTAAGCTAGAAACGCTGAGATTATTAGGTGGGGCGGGGTGGGGGTGGAAGAATCGAGGGCTAGTATTTTCCAAAAATGCGGATAAATAGAGAATCAGGGTTTCCAGTATCTTATAAGATTCAAAGGGCTTTGCAAAAAGTTTTCTCTGGATTTCATCGTCAACGCGACAGGCAACGCACGGCGAACTTCGAAATGTCGAAATTAATGTGAAAAAACCACTACAGGGGAAAATCCACCACACGAAATTTCGAGGATGGGCGCGTTGCGTGTCGCAATGGCAAATCCCAGATGAATGCCAGTCCCTCCCCATACAGAAAATCGAAAGATTATTCATAAAAAAGTATATTAAAATATTGACCATGAGTTAACAGCGCCTATTACGGGTTTCGCCAGTGATTCGCCCGATGTTCGCCGCCAAGCGTGTAGAAAGCAGATGGGTCATTAGGATATGGCACCATGGTTGGAGTGGATAGCAGTCTGGCCCGATGGTACCCTGGCGGTGTCATCAACCTCTTCGTGTGTCTGTGAAGCCGGCTTTGAGGCTACCTGAAACCAGCTTCATAATTAGGCTTAGGGTGAGTCAAAGTGAGCCAAGCGCCAAGTTTAATCGTCGGATGAATTTATTTCCAAGGCTAAGCCCAGGCCTGAACTCACGCCCAAGCCAGAGCCTACCCTGTCAAGTAAGCGCCATACCTTGTTGTACCACTCTTGGTATGTCGTCTCGCCCTCCATCTGGCATTGATTCATTTCCATTGCCGAAGGAGCCGGGCTGCTGCTACCATTCTTGTTGGATGCCGTGGTGGACTAAAGTTGGCCAGATAAAAATATTCCCTCTTCATCAAAATACCTGGCTGAAATGGCGTTGATGGGTTCCGTTGGGGCCTTGGAGGCCTTGTTTTCGAAGCCGGCCATTGGTGGCTTCGTCCCCTTTGGGTTGCACTGAAATCCAGCGGGTAATTGGGAGTGACGTAGTTTTTGAGATAATCTACAGTTACCTACGCTTCAACCCAAACCTAAACTGAAGCATACGCTTGCGAATATTCCAACAAGAAGCTGATTATTCAAGCAAATAGTTTATTCTGTATTTCTTAAAAACGCACATGTTCCATAGGGTCCGTAGAAGGCGGGGTTCGGCAGCGGGTATGAGTCCTAAATTTCAATTTTAATACTGGTGCTTTAAGCTTTTTTCCCGAAAGTTCAAAGTTTTAATGAATTTTTGAAACATGCAAGGTTAGCCGTAATCAGAACGAGATATTTAACTTTTCCATAGTTAATGAAATCGGATAAGTGCTTGATCAAGAAGCAACGGCTGCGCTTGCAAAGTTTATTAAAGTCATCGGTCTATTTTTCTTTCGTTTTATCTATTTTCTAGCTTTCTATGTTTACTCATGTGCGCGTGTTGCATGTGGCGACCGCGGCGAAACGTAAAGCTAATCCCAATTCAGCAAAATCCATGGGTTTCCTTCCCATCCAGGTCCCTTTAAGACAGAAATACCGCCACCCGATGTAGTGAGTGAAATAGTGCTTTCCCCAAAACTAACCGCTTTGTAGGGGATATCTGTGTACGACTTGGCCTCGAGCGATTCCGACCTCATCGGACTCTGCAAAAACGGGTTAGGGGGTGCAAAAGACGACGGCTGTGCTTTTATCGGGGGTTAGCAGCACAACGGGACTGTATTGGACGCCTATTCATTTTTTTGGAGCTGAGCCCACTTCCGACTACGTGGCTCAACTTACAAATTGATTCCTTGTCCCTGATACGACACATGATACAACAGCAGCAGACGAGCGCCAACAATAGCACCAGCGCCGCAATGGAGATGACGATGATGTTGCGCAACAGCTCGTTGTCGATTCTGTACATTTTTTAATGATTTATGACAAAAATCGACTTTGGGGGAGTCTTTTTTCAAAACCAAGATCGGTCGAATGTGTGCGGAATTTTTGCGCTAATCACGCAGATGTACTTTGCTTTAAAAAACTAGGATCTTTATAAGGTTAGGGTCGTTTTTACTTTGAAAAATGTTTCGGTTTTGAAAATAATATACTTGCAAAACGGTAAATACCTGAGCCCGGCGAGCAGATTGTCGATGCTCTCATTCATCGGCTTCTCCTCCTTATGATTCTTTGGGCGGGTCGGACAGGGACATCCGAGAATCAGCCAATTATTGGATTTCTAAAAGTCGACTCACCAATCTGCTTGACCCTGACGGTGGTGGGCTCGACGTCGAAGCCGGGCAATTCTCCGCGAAGCTCGCGCCTTCGAGGAAAATGGCCACTTCACGCGCAAGGGTTCTTGGCCGTTTGTGTCAACCTGAAAATGGGTTGGTTAAAGGTCAGGAAATAAAGTGGAAGAGAGAGGAGAGACAGCTGTCGCTAAAGCACTAATATTCTACCTCAAACTCGGCGATGACGCTACCCTTGGCGTAGTCGACAATCTTGGAGACGTGCATACCCTTCCACTTCTTTGCCAATAGCCCGTCGACGGCAGAAGATACCTAGACAATTCATTTAGAAAATATGATTGAAGCGACCTCTATGAAATATGAATTATGTCATGGAAAACTAGCAAAAGCCGACCTCCTTGGTGAACGAGCGATAGTATTCGGTCTGCGGGTCGAGCAGTGATGGATGCCAATCGCGGTTGAGGATCCGTACTCGCAGTGAGTAGCGCTTCTTCGCATCCGGTAGGTACGACACGACTGGCGGCTTGGTGATGGCCGGCTGTTGGGTCGTCTAGATTCAAGAATAATCCGGATTAATTGTTTTCAGATCAGTTCAAATCCTAGCCTATAACCAAACCACCAAGTTCTTTTAGCTAGAACATGAGACTTTCACAACTTCAAAGCACACCTCGATCCGCTTTCCGGGGATTGTCGATGGGGCACAGGTAGAGCTAGGTGCCGTTCCCTTCGTCGTCGGCAATTCTGAGGACTCGGTGGCCTGATATTCTTCAGAATCCTCGTCCTCATCCTCATCCTCTTCCTCAGTCTTCTTCTCCTCCTTTGTGGTCTCGATCTTAGTGATGACGGGCTTCATCGTCGGCTGCTTGGCGGCTGCGTCAGCAGCAACGGTCGTGTGGCGTTCGCATACATTCAAACAAATCTGCAACGTTCGGGAGCTACTGTGGTCTACCCGAGTCAACTACCTTTGTCTGGCTGCTCGTTGGCGTCTCAGCGTGCTTCATCACTTCACCGCTCGAATCCAGCTGGCCACCCGATGGGGTGAAAAGGAAGTATTGGCACTCGGCCAGGGTCACGTCGTTCTGAAATCATTCCAGATGAAAGGAGACGCCATTCTTCACTTACCATGTCATTTGTAGCCAAACGTCGGCTAAAGTTTGCCATGACGCGGCAGACTTGTAGCTCGTCTCTGGAAAAGGAAACATGGATTGGCGAGTTGGTTTTGATACCAATATCGTAGACATCTTGCTCTTCATCAATGACCGGTCTACCGTAGTTTGGCATGAATTGATCGACAACGGAGACTTCTCCACGCTCCACAGAGATGACGACAACATCGGAATTGGCCTGGAGAAGTGCTCTTATGGTTTTGATTTGAGGTTTTGCAGAGTGCCAAGGTTCCGACGTTAAAGGTCTGGACAGCCGAAATACCGATATGACGAAATTCCGACCTCTAACAAGGGAACCGCCCGAGGTCGAGATGGCGTTTCGTTATGGAATCCGGCCCATTTTGTGCAGAATTTTTCGCTGATTCCGAATACGCTGCTCATTTTTGCCCATTAGCTCGTTTTCAAAAGTTATAGCGCTTCAAAGTTCATTTTTTTCCCAAATTTGTCAACATCAAAGCCATTTATTTTGCGTTTCCCTGCTGATTCATCAAAAACGAATATTGCCATCGTATTCAGAAAATTTTTTCTCTATCGAATGAGCTATTTAACTCAAAATTGTTGGAAATCGAAAAAATCGACGATGGACTTCGTTTTTGTATGGGAAATGGTGAAAAACAGGCTATTTCACACTCCCATAAGTGATCATCGATAGGCAGTAGCGCGAGTAAATAAATATACCATCCGAATCAGAAAAAAATTCTCTACAAGATAGGCTGTTTAAAATAGATTGGCATCAAAAAACAAAAAAGTTGGGCATCGTGACAGATGACCGCCCGCGAACTCAAATATGATCTTTAAATTGCCGTAACTTTTTAAATCGGGCTGTTGGCAAAAGTGAAAGCGGATTCGGAATCAGCAAAAAATTCTGCACAAAATGGGCTGGGTTCCATAACGAAACGCCACCTCGACCCTAGGTGGTTCCCTTGTAAGATCCCGATGGGGGAAAAATTCCGTTGAGGCTAAAAAGCCGATAAACGAAGGCAAAATCCCGATAAGAAAATAGCGATAGACGAATGACCGGATCTACCCGAAAGTATAGGCTCAGGATCAGATCAGACAAAAACTTACCATGCCTCCATCATTGGAGAAGCCGATGGCCGTCCAGCGTCGATCGGAAATGTGCGGCTTCAAGACGGAAGGAGATCTCCTTCCCGTCGAATTCCATTCGACATAATACCGGGCATATGGCTAGCTCGCAACCTCTAGGGAATGAGAAGCGCCTTGAGCATGTTGGGAACCCATCCTAAAAAATGCTGGCATTAAAGAGACCCCAGAGAAACAGGCTCCAAACCTAAGAGAAGCTTTAAGCTACCAAATTCCATACCTCCTCCGGCCGGCGCATCCGGAATATTTGGCAATGGTCGGGCGGCAGGGCTTTGTGTTGTAGTAGATGGTGACGACACCGTCTTGAGCACTTCTTCAGTGGCCGCATCAAAGAAGTTGATTATCAACACTCCGCGGCGATCCTTCCCGTGATATTGAAGAGATCTTGGCCAAGAAGGCGGGGATCAGCTCAGAATCCGGGCTCCTCCGGTGGTGTGTTGATATCTGGAAAATTGGTTCCTGAATGGTTTCTTTAGGTTCCATGGGAAAGTTCACTATGAGAGATGTTCTTTTCTGCTCACCTCTCCGGATCGGCTCCCCTAGCCCATACTACAGTCATTGTGGTCCGGGGCAATGGTAGCGATCGGCCAGGTAGTCGGCTGAAGTTCAAAAATATATTGAAAAATACCGTATGTTCCATTACCTTCCAATTTGCGCCTAAACTACAATTGTCGTCACGCCGTCCTCTTGATATGCGGGGCTCCGCTCAGATCATCGAACCGCCGAAGAACGAATCCATGCGTGGGGTGGCTCTAGAATTCTTGGAAACAGTTGAAATGGCACGATGTGTAGATTAAGGATTGATATTGCCTACCTTACTAGGTGGTACATATCTCTGTTACACGGCCCTTTCCGTCAAAGACCGATCCGACAACCATGTCGGTGCAAGACATCACACTTCCTGAATTCGGAAAATTGTAGTTGGTACTTTCATTACTAGTGGAGGGCTAAAGGGACAGGGGAACTCTCAAGCGAGATTAATTTTTTCCGTTCGCTAGTAATCGACAGCTGTTCCTAACTACGGGGTGTCCCAAAAAACGCCCTACCTAGCGGTCCGCAGTCGATTCCGATTTTACGATTTAGGTATCTATCAGAAGCTCTCGAAAAGGCGAGAAAAAGAAGGGTTCATTTTCTTAATTAAGCATTTTATTCGCTAATTTTATGTCCAAAACCCATGAAACTGCTGGTTATGCGAGATCTGCATGCTCATTGCAAAATTCCTGATGAAAATTCCCGGTTTTAGGGAAGCCTTGAATATCGATGTAATCAGATTAAATCTTCGAAAACGAAACCCGCTTTCGCCTTTTCGATAGCTTTCGATAGACCAGTTAAAATCATAAAAAATTGGACTTGACTGCGGACCCATACTAGGTAGGGAGAGGTTTGGACACTTTGTATTATAAGCTTGTTCGGATAAATCCTAGTCATCATTCGGAGGAATTCGGTCCCCTCTTAAAGCCACAAACCAGTGGTAGCTGCTTGAGCTGCTTGCTGTTGGAGGGCTTGGCGACGGACGCACGCGATGCGGCGGCTTGACAGGTGATCCTGTCCGTCACAGATGCAAATCTTGTTCTTGGAGACCTTCGGCGCTTGGTCATGATAGCCGATGGGGGTGCGGGCATTGGCAAAGTCTTGAGTGTTGCGAGCGGAACACGACCTTCATGGGTGGTTTGCTGTCAGCTTGTCGAAGTATTTTAATTATGTGGATTTTATTTTTTTTTGTAAAAGTGACAAAAACTCACCTCCTCCAATAGGGATACCAAAAGTAGTAGCACTCATCCGAGTGGCAGATCAGTCACCTTGTCCTTAGGTACTAATGGGCGACGGAATGAAATGGTCTGCATCTCATCCCACCATCTTGCCTTCGACCTACAACCATGAAACGTTGTCAAAAGGCTTAACGTACCTCGTAGATATCATTGCGGTCGGCCGGGTCGATGGCCGGGCTTCGGCGGCCATCCGGTAACGGTCAGTCACGTAGCCCCGCCTCGCAAACCTGTAATCGTAGAAATTGTCCATTGTGTTGATGAGCCGTTTAAAGAAAGGCATACCAAGGTTTTGGAGAGCAAATATATCTCCAGTTATGGATTACGGGCAGTACAAATGACGCGCGAATTTTGTGCAGCAATGGGGCGCCATTGCCGCACAAGAATTCGGCACCACCTCCACCTCTTCTGGCGTCCCCATCCCACCCAATGGCTTGCCACTGCTGGCCTAATGGATAGCATCAGGCCTACAGACCCGGAGGTCCCAGGTTCGACCCCCATCGCAACATGGTTTTTGCTTTTTGAGCCCCGGAGGTTATGGGCATCCCTTTAATCTTAACAATAGCCCGAAATCCACTAAACATACCCATCCAGTATAAATATCCGAGTTGGCCATGCCACCATCGCGGGAGAATCCGATTCCGGTCCAGCGTCCGAGTTCTTTAGACGAGATCTAGAAGAAGCAGAATAAATGGTACCCGACTTTTTTGTTACCTCGAATTTCACATCCTTTCTCTTCTCATTGCAGCTCCCTTAGCAATATATTCACAAGCCGTATCGACGCACGATGGTGGGTATCGGTACTCCGTCTCCCACATTTCATCCTTCTTCCCTTCAGTTCGGTTCGTGATTTGGTACGATTTTTTACTAACCTTTGGTTGGCTTCTCGTCCTCTTCGGCAAGGCAGCTGGCAACGCAAACGAGGTTCAGGCTGACGATCAGGGGTTGAAAGCGTGGATCGTGATGTTTCCCGTTCTACAAAAGTGCTCAATTTCTTGGCGTTTTGAATTTGTAATACGAGTTGTTGCGACTGAGCGGGCTCAAGCCGACTGTAAAGAAGTGTTTTTACTCAGGCTGGCGTTTTGGAATGGGATTGAGACTATCTTGTTCTAATTTTTTGCTGATTCCGAATCCGTTTTCCAAAATTTGCTGCGCGGACTTCGCGTTGAAAAGTCGTTTCATGTCGAAATTAAGCCAAAAAACGGCAAGGCCGGATGCTGCATTACTATTCCTGTAGGGACCCAGGTATTGTGCCCCTTATCTACCCCTCCGAAGCCCCCACCCCAGTTGGCACCATGGTGGATTGGCAAGGGGTTCGCTTAGAAGCACAGGGCCGCAGTTCAAACCCCGCCCTGCACAATTTATTTTGCTTTTTGCACATAAACAGATAATTTTTG